TTTGTTGCATTTCATCCTAAGTATTGCAACATACGCTAAAGCCTACAGCCACTACAGAATGGCACCCCTGAGCCAATCAACGTCAGCCACGGTGTCCCACATGTTTCTCGCTGTCAGTCGTGGGCTCGATTTATCCCAACGGAGGGAACGTACAGGCTTTGGTCCTCGGCAAACTCCGCCTTCACATCCGCAACTTAGTCTGAGCACCAAGCAACGAACACTACCATGCGATGCTGTTGGTGCTGGAGCTCTAACCTGTTCCTTCTGTAACCCGCAATACTTCCTAACATCCACTGGCACGAAGGATGTAGCATTGTCTACTACACAACATGGTAAACGCACGCTGAATCCATCAACCCTCGTACGAGCGTGAACCACCGGCATCTACCGGAGCATACAATGTCTTCCACAACTGCCGAAGCCACAATCCTCCACAAATGTGCCTCAGCAAACATTGCAAATATCACCTCTCAGGTATGTGACGAACTTCCTGTAGACTCAGCAAGCTGCAGGGATAGCTACCTTGTTAGCATACGCACTACTGCCTCCCACGCCGCTACTCTGTTGGGCAAAGCTAGAGAACACTCGCGGGCCTAGCACACCCTGTCTACACACGCCGAACAGCTCCTGCTTTCCCTCATGTAACTACTAGGAGCATACTTTGCCGCAGCTCTCCCTTCCGCCATATGAGACTAACTTCCTGCAAATGAAGCCATCCCCACGGATACCAGGTTGGCTAGTATACACCATTTTGTTGCTGTCCACTGTTTTTCCCTTCATATATATGCTGGAGCTATCAGCACTTACCAAACGACTCAGTACCAATATGCATCAACGAGCTCTGCTCCTGCCTTTCCTGGTGCATAGCAAGTACAGTTCTTCAAGAATGCAAAGCAAGTGCACTCCTTCAAGAATGTTTACGTCAGCGCATGAGACGAACTTCCTGCAGAACACAATGATCACCGAAAGTCCTTGCTCGGCTATTATATGCACCACTGCCTCTTTCTCCGCACTGATTCGTCTGAAACGCGTCAGCTGCACTACCGCTCAACACGAGTGCCCCAATGGCCACAGCGTAACGCCTTTCCTCAAGCAATCCTACACTAGCTAGTATTTTCAAGATATGGACTAACTTCCTGTGATGCGTATGCCTTTCGGATTTCCTGTTTCGTTCGTTCACAAAGCGCCAGCCTGCAATGTGTGAGCAACATTTCCAGCAACACGATGCATACATCACCAGTGTTCGTTCACCGCATTCTCAAGCAATGCCTAGCTAATAATAAAGCACGGGTATGCGAAAACATCTTCGCGCACATATTCCATGGCCGCGTTGCCTGAAGGCAACTAAGCCCACCCCAGGCAAGCCGTCCAACACTGCACTTCAGAAAAAGTAGCTCCAGTCATAATTACCTAGGCATTCGAGGTGTTGCTCCCTGCTCCACTCTGCCACTATAGAATGCACCTCCACTCGCTGCCGTTCGGCTGCATCCTGCTCTACGTCTGGCACAACGGTGGTTCGGGACGGCACGCAGGTCAAACTGTCAGCAGCCTCCGGTCCCCACTAAGAACTGCATATCTACTGTGTGTGGTGGCACACTAAAGAACATAGGGAGACACCAGCGATCTACCCCATACTATGCTTGTGTTACACAGCCAGTAAGCCGGGACTATGGACAGGAACACCGCCCAGCCACAGCAGCAATGCCTGCTTTGCTGCATTGCCGAGTTGCCGGCCCATCTAAAAAATGCACCGCACCGTCTGCCCCCGTGATAACCAGACGAAACGATCTCTAGCTCCACAATCCCACTAATATCGGGCGCAGCCATGAGCTAGTACTCTGACTAGGACTGGGCTAGCCCGGAAAGACACTCCGACCAGTCCCGTGCTTCGTCCCTCGTCAGCTTGCCTCAACAAAAAGCTACATACTGGCTTTGAAAAAAAAACTCCCTTTCCGTGCTCACTAATTTAAGCATATGTATACAGTGCGGGACAGAGTGTGTACGTCCGCCACTCAAGCCACAGACTCCGGAGTAAGTGACACAAGAGAAATCATGTGGCATTCATATTGCACTTGTTGGCTCAACCGCCTGCCCCCCATGTGTGATGGCTGCCAAGAGAGGCTGCTTAACGCATTGGGTGCAGCCCTTCGCATATACATTCAGGACGAAGTCTTCTGAAATAAGAGCGTATCATGCAGGTAGCATGAGACAATTCACAACTGTACGCTGATGCTGGCCGGAGCCTACCTTGCCTCCTACGCCTACTAACGCCGCAGCCGGTCGCGGCCGTACCATAAGCGGCTCCTGACGTACTTGCTGCACATTAGGCCCCCCACTGATCTTACTGCATGCCTGGTCCGCAGATAAGCAGTGCACACTCAACTACTTGGCCGTACACAGCTGCAATGGGTCTCCCTGCTCCCAACGAGTGGCACCACGGGGCTAAACGACTACGCCGTCGTTACCTTTGACTGAAAAACCCTCCTCCTATCCAACGCCCCCGTCGCATGCCCTGAACTACTTGTAGGGACTAGCTGCCACGGTCTTGCACAGAATGTGCACACTGTTAATGACGGCCACCTCGGTGGCATTCCTACAGTGCTCCTAAATTTCCAAAATGCACAATTCCCTGAGTCGTCCGGAGTTCTCTGGTTCATCACTGGCGTAGCCTACAGTCCGTCTCGTTTTACACTAAGTTGCATGGCTAAACAAAGCTTCTGTGAATGGCAGGCATCGCCTTAAGTATAATCACCTGCAGCCGCCGGAAATCTTGCACTCGTCTAGAAAAGACATGAGCATTCTCCTCAGGATGTTGTCACGACATGGAAGCATGCTCAAGGACAACTGGTTCACCAGCTGCGGTGCTCCTCACAGCAGCAAGTACAGTGTCGCCAAACTCCTACCAGTCAACCTTATACACAGGGCCCAACTCAACAATGCTTCACGCTCTTCTGCTACTGAAGAGATGCCCGCGTGCTACGCAGAATGCTCCTCGCGCGTCTCCCCGCTGACGAACACTTGCTTACAGGGACTTCCTCCTCTGGTACATGAGGGCGCTCCAAAGGGACTTCAGTAACACTCGGCTTCGTGGGTTTGGATGCCGTGAAGGTCTGTACAGCGAAGAAGACACCAGCTACCACAGCTGTGAGGAGGAGTAGGGCAGCCGCGTCGCGCCTACGCGTGTCCGCGGGGGTATTGCCACCCTTGGAATCCAAAGTTGCTTCATCATTCTGGTTATCAGGATAAACGGTTTGGACTGAAACGTCTGCTGTTTCATTTGAGCCGTTCGCAGCGAGAACGGTGGTCAACAGCACCGCGGAAAGCGGTAAGAAAAGTTGAACTTTGCGCATTTTCGGACTTTACAACCAAAATATCACTCCCAGTATTCGTAGAAACTTCAAAATTTTCAACGTTTCTCAATGCTTACCAACGCACTTTCAGGATCAATCACCAACACCTACCCATCGAAACCGATGGTCAGCGACGGACTCAGCTTCACGTCGCTGCTCGACGGGACTCGGTGTGGGGCAGGCAAGTCGATTCTGCAGAGTCCCACACTGTATAATTGTATTAGCATTATAGTTTTAACCAAAACAAAAGTATGGCAACTGTGTAGAGTACTTTCCTTGCGGCTTCGTGAGTAGTGATCTCTTGCCTGCACGTCCCCCGTCTGCACATCGTTAGCGCCCTGTTGTGCCGGCGCTTTTGTAGTCTAGGAAATGGAGTGAAGCTGAATCTACCAATCTCCCTTCTTTGGTTTGCTACTCTTTCATGGACTGAAGATACCAGTAGTGGACCACCATCGCAGTTGCCGGCGCAATGCGAACGGCGGTCGAGTTGAACAGTTACAGCTTATCGTACTCCACAATGTGTCTCAGCATTTCTAAATTCTATCTACGTATTTTTTGAAGAGCTCCTAAGTAAGCATATGGCGGAGCTGCGACCCAGGGATACTTGAGCCTAAGCACTCTCGGTGCGGGGGTCACCTTGCGGCACGGTGTCTGCAGTAGCTAATAAAAGTACCTCATGAGATTACCAGATATACAGTCAACGGTTTGAGCCGATTTATGTACACACGTGAGCAACTCTAGCCTGGAGGGCTTTAAGCTGGCTTTCCTGGCCGGCCGGAGCAGCGACAGTCTCAACGAGCTCCGGAGTAGGTTTAGGTCACTACCTGAGAGTTAATTGTCAATAACTCTAGTAATAAGTTAGTTCATTTAAGAAGAGTGGACAATGACGATAGTTGCAAGCGGCAAATACGGGGAGTGGGGACGAATATATCTGTTGCAATGACGCACAGATTTACTCGGCTCCTAGTTTGCGGATAACGACGACTTCTTTTTCTGAAGTACCCTTATTATTCTTCTACGTCAGGCATAAAATTCACTCTCACTCTGTGGTACGCAGCTTGCAGGCCTCCGGTGAACGTGCAAAGCAAGCTCCGTGGTTAACAGCGAGCCAGGCAAAGGCCCCGCACGCTGATGGCGTGGAGGCAGTAATTTACACTTGCACACAAATATTTAAAGACTTTACTGCTCGGTTGGCGAATGGTCGATGCATGCGACATGATAGCAGCCTTCTAAGTCAACCAACGGCAACACATTTCCTGGTTCATCTGTGGAATTTTTCTGAAAGCAAATATCTCTTGCGATTCTGTATCTAAGGTATTTGGCATCCTTAACTGTCATTTCCATGTACAGCTCAGAAAAAAGCAAACAATTAATAACAAAGAACATAATGGCGTTCAATGCAGAAGGCACAAAAACAACAACAGCACAACAGATCGTAGATGAAACTGGTCCCGCGATCAAGACTATTGTTGCTTTCGAAAGTGGTTCCAGCACAAATGTGGCCTTTCAGCGTTGCAGAGTCTCCTCAACAAGCTCGTTTTTGCCTAGTCGGCTGTTGGAGACACAGAAGAACACTCCACATCAGATGCATCAAGCGGTCCCCCGGGCCATCTTTCGGGCAGCCGGAACCAGCGTGACACATTAGTGCGGGGTGAGAGTTCCCTGAGCGCATCGGCATCAGTCTTGCTAGCTTTCGTCACTCCGATTATTCTGTTGAAGTTAAACTTACCCTGCTTCCATGAGCAAGTCGGGATTCTTAAGTCGAATTTCAGAATGCTGGGCCCTCTGGAACCGCATTGATACCTCTACTGAGTATGCTATCCCCAAGTGGCTGCTTGGATTCCTCGAAGATTATCTCCAACTGAAGAAATATTTAGCTATCTGTCCCACTCCAAGGTGGCTGCAGTGCCAGCAGTACAGTGGACGTTGCAATTTGCAGCAGCAGGAGAGTGTCTGCACCCCCGCGAAGATACGTGAAGAGCTAATCCCCAGCGTATAGCGAGACCCGAATCATACGCTGCTTTTTCTCTAGCAATCTAACCGTAAACAGGGGGATCGAAAACATCTTGACTATACACGTAGTACTCCGCTTAAAAATAAGGAAGCGTCGGGGTATTTTGTGTAAATATAAAATAGCGTGGAGGGGCAGTGTTTGAGGGAAGACTGCGGAGAATAGTGGAAGCTGTGGTCTGCCCACATCACCGCTTGAGAGCTCCCCCGCTACGACTGTGCTGCTATCCGTGGTTGTTAGTGGGTTCCATTAGGCAAGCGGCCAACGTACATGGAACACCAATTAAGCCAAAAAGTAGAGCTTGTTTGGTTTTTGCACAGCTTATCTACACGTCTTCGGTCCAGAAGTTAATTCCAGAGTTGCAGAAAAGGAACGAAACGCAACACAAAGCGGAGAGAAATTCGTGGGCTCGTTGAACATGCCATTGGGTCTACCCCATCTCCCCATACCACAAACAACCAACCCTAAAAGGCCAATACAAGCTAGCAGGGCTGCACGCCTTGCGCTATGCATCAGCCTCCTCCTCGCCCTGCACCTCCATCTGAACAGTACAACACAGCAGCAGCCAAACTTTTTGCTAAAATCTAAACCCACACCCATAGGAGCATCTGCATCCCGCACTAAGGTAACACCGGTGCAGCGGCTGCAGTGCTGTGCAGCCTAAACCCTAACCCCATGAGGCTAAACCCTTGGCCCCAAGCTGCCAACTGAACACTAAACTCTAAGCTATCGATTCGGAACGCCAAACCCTTACGTCTACATCCAGTCCAAGCCAGTGAGAGAGGTAGGTGCATTCTCGAGGATTAATTTTTCCATTTGCGCTGCAGTCCTCCACGAGAGGGCAGCCGATACATGGAACGCTGTCGAGCAGCCGCAGGTTTTCGCTTTGGTTCCACTGCGCGCACACCACACAGCAACAGTGATACTCTTACTAACACCTAGCGGCCCCGCTACTCCCCAGGGAGAAACCCTTTACTCAGCAGCACAAGCATCTTCACCAACAGCAGCAACAGCAGCAGCAGCAGAGTCGACTTACGACAAAGGTTGTTTCCGTTCCTGTACGAATTCGCGCAACTTTGTCTTCACACTCCAGGGTGGCCACCAACTGAGATATATCCTCGTCTGTGAAGCAGGCGCCGCCCGCATCGCCTGAAGTGTACACGCATCTCAGCTGCCACTGCTGCTCCAGTTGCTGCTGCTGCTGCGCTTGTTGCAGGGTCAGGGGTTGCTGCACTACCTGCAGCTACTGCACTGTATACAGCTGCTGCACTTGCTGCAGCTGCTAACGAACTGGACCCGGGTTTCTCCTGCTCTGACTCTTCCTGCACTATAGCGGCAGACTGCAATGCAAGTGGGGGCCGAGCCCACTACGGCGACTACCACATGCAAACATACGAAACACTACCAATGCAGAACATATGTACTGACTCAAACACTCATAGAAAAAGATTCAACTGTTTCGTGCTTCATAAGATACCGCTGCTGCGCATGAAAGCCACGAGGGCAGAGAAGGTGGAGGATCGGGCGTTGGACAAAAACATCGC